ATATACAATAAATATATATAAATAAGTCCGATCCTCCCCCGTTTCTGTCCGTTCCTGTAAATCGTCGCCCGTTTCTGTCCGTTCCTGTAAATCGTCGCCCGTTCCTGCCCGATCCATATCAATACAATACTCTTAATTCCTTGCAATTCTTTTATCAAATATATCTTATACCCGATAAAAAAAATATATGATACTATAAATGTAGGTATCATAAGTAACATCGTCATAAATGTATATATATAATTTAGTCCGATTCTGCCCCGATCATGTAATTGCAATCCTTTTATCAAATATATTTTATACCCGATAATGATACTTAAATGTATCTAATATATATATTCATTAATGTATATGATAATTAATAGATTGCAGCCCGTTCCTGCCCGTTTCTGTCCGTTTCTGCCAGTTCCTGCCCGTTTCTGCCCATTTCTGCCCGTTTCTGCCCGTTCCTGCCCGTTCCTGTAAATCGTCGAACCCAAAAAAATGAAGTTAATTATCACGGGAATAATACACAATAATGTATCGTTATTATATCGGATAAAATATGGCAAGATGGACAGCTAGTGTATTTCGATAATTATTTCTAGCAAGCAAGTGAAAGTCACAAGCATTTTATTTCCTTTTTTATATTGCCGTCCTTAAATGACCATATATAGCTGTTGATAGGACGTTAAACAATACTAAACCAAATCCAAATATTGCATGCACTTTCACACATTGTTTCTGTTGAATTCTTAATGAAAATAAATGCATCCTGAAAAAAGTTGTCTGAACTTTGCTCTCATTATATTTTAATGATCATTCAATTATATATATGCCACTGTTCATTTTCCAACGATGCTTTAATTTTGCGTCAACCCGATCGCTTGTCTGGGGACACAAAAAAAAACCAAAGCCCGCGGATCAACTTCATTATTAGATCCATATGTCACACATGCATTACGTTCGCTTGCTATTTCTTTTTATTTATCAAATAATGACCATGCATGTAAAGCTCACACCTACATTTTAATAATTATACACAAGTGAAAACGAAAGTGAAAGTAACATTGCGTGGACATTGCCCACCGATGACGTCATCTGGTTCTGAGAATTTCCAGTATTGCATGGTTTTGGTTACGTAACGTAGTCAAAGAATTTATAAGTGTTGCTCGCTACTGTGGTGTCAACAACTTAGCTCGGGACAATGGCCACAAACACGAACGACGATGAACACTTGCAAGAAAAAATAGACGTATATCGGCTTGTGCTGATGGAGTGTGTAATCCCAACGGAATTACTCCCATCGTTAACCGACGTGCTGTCAGGTAATTGTACTTCACTAGCCTAATTATAATGCTCTCGGTATTGGAATAACCATATGCATACAGGTCGGATTATTCTAGTTACAAAGGGCCAGGTATATCAGACGGTAAAGCTCTTGGTACAGGCACAAGTAAGTCACACACACACGTGCACACACACGTACAATCGTCGCACACACACTCACCGATAGCTACACATACACGTACATTATACCAGACGGTATATAGCTCTTATAATTAGTACAGGCACAAGTAAGTCACACACACACACGTACAATCGTCGCACACACACTCACCGATACCTACACATACACGTACATCATACCAGACGGTATAGCTCTTAGTACAGGCACAAGTAAGTCACACACGTACGTACAATATACCAGACAGTACAACATAGGCAACAACACAATAAAATGTGAACCAGAAGTAAAATTACTAGGGGTCACCGTACTAGACTTTCAGTTAAACTTCCATACACACGTGCACGTATCCAACATCTGCAAAAAAGCATCTACAGTAAGACAGCTCAACTCGCTCAAATGCATAGGAAAACTTACAATATACCATTCATTTATTCTGTCAAATTTTAATTTCTGTCCACTTACATGGCACTTTTGCGGTGAGACAAAACCCCAAAAAATGGAAAAAATCCAAGAAAGGGCTTTAAAATTTATTTACGATGAACACGCAAATACATATGAAAATTTACTAGCCCCTTCAAAACTACCATCACTCAAAATCAGATGAATCCGAAATTTTGCAACAGAAGTATTTAAAATCACAAATAAACAGACACCAACATACCTACACGACCTTATCAACATCACAGAAAAATCATACACATTCATATATCACAACACAGCAGATATACCACATGTTAGGACTACAAAGTATGGTAAACACTAATTTCGATCTGAAGCAACTAAAATATGGAATGCCCTACCAGACGAGTTCAGAACAACAACTACACTTACACAATTTAAGACACTAATAAACAGCTAGTATGGGCCAAAATGCAAATGCAACACATGCAGACAAAACACATAGGCTCACAATACAGTTTTATACAACATGTTTTTAGCTAAAGCTTACCTCTATGTCACCTCTCTATTAGATAGTGCTCATCTTTTAATATGTTTTGCCAAATATTTATTGTGTTACTGTGCATGTCATTTTATGTGTCGGTTTTAATAGCTCATTAGAGCTAAATGTTGTATTGTTACCAACATTAAATAAAACTTTTGATTTTAAATGATTTGATTTTGTCTCGATACAGGTAAGGCACGTCACACAGACACTCACCGTTACCCACTCACACACGTACAATAAACCAGACTGTACAGTCTCGGTACAGGTAAGGCACGTCGCACACACACCCACCAATACCCACTCACACACGAACAATATACCAGACTGTACAGTCTCGGTACAGGTCAGGCACGTCGCACACACACTCAACAATACCCCCTCACACACGTACAATATACCATACTGTACAGTCTCGGTACAGGTCAGGCACGTCGCACACACACTCCCCAATACCCACCCACACACGTACTATATACTAGACTGTTCAGTCTCGGTACAGGTAAGGCAAGTCGCACACGCACTCACCGATACCCACACACACTCATACAATATACCAGACTGTACAGTCTCGGTACAGGTAAGGCACATCGCACACACGCTCACCGATACCCACTCACACACGTACAATATACGAGACTGTACAGTCTCTGTACAAGTAAGGCACGTCGCACACACACTCACCGATACCCACACACACACATACAATATACCAGACTGTACAGTCTCAGTACAGGTAAGGCACGTCGCACACACACTCACTAATACCCACTCACACACGTACTATATACTAGACTGTACAGTCTCGGTACAGGTAAGGCACATCGCACACACGCTCACCGATACCCACTCACACACGTACAATATACCAGACTGTACAGTCTCGGTACAAGTAAGGCACGTCACACACACACTCACTAATCCCCCCACACACGTACATTAAACCAGACGGTACATTCCCGGTACAGGTAAGGCGCATCGCACACACACTCACCGATACCCACTCACACACGTACTATATACCAGACTGTACAGTCTCGGTACAGTGAGGCACGTCGCACACACACTCACCGATACCCACACACACATACAATATACCAGACTGTACAGTCTCGGTACAGGTAAGGCACGTCACACACACACTCACTAATACCCCCACACACGTACATTAAACCAGACGGTACATTCTCGGTACAGGTAAGGCGCATCGCACACACACTCACCGATACCCACTCACACACGTACTATATACTAGACTGTACAGTCTCGGTACAGGTAAGGCACGTCGCACACACACTGACCAATACCCACACACACACATACAATATACCAGACTGTACAGTCTCGGTACAGGTAAGGCATGTTGCACACACACTCAACGTTACCCTCCCACACACGTACTATATACCAGACTGTACATTCTCGGTACAGGTAAGGCACGTCGCACACACACTCAACGTTACCCTCCCACACACGTACAATATACCAGACTGTACATTCTCGGTACAGGTAAGGCGCGTCGCACACACACTCACCGATACCCACTCACACACGTACTATATACTAGACTGTACATTCTCGGTACAGGTAAGGCACGTCGCACACACACTCACCGATACCCACTCACACATGTACTATATACCAGACTGTACAGTCTCGGTACAGGTAAGGCAAGTTGCACACACACTGACCAATATCCACACACACACATACAATATACCAGACTGTACAGTCTCGGTACAGTG